CACCTCAAAAATTCTATGAGCATCTCTTAATGGGAAGTCAGAAGTGACAGGAAGAGATAAGGGTTTGGATTTCTTGTCATAAAGTTTCTTTCTCCAAAGGAACTCAGAACAGAACCCTTCCTCTTGTCTAATAGGATACGGTTCTAATCCCAGATTGTGGTCTTGAACATCCCGCCTAATTCATCTGATCCTGGGGTGATTGTTGGAATGCTTGTCATATGTAGAATTCTAACATTCTAGAAATCACAAGCTTAGTAGCACTGATCTGATGTGTCAATGAGAAGTGCAGGTTATACGTGCTGATGGGAAGCAGTTGACACACAGAAAATAATCTTTGGGATGTATTCTCATTTTCTTCAGCAATGCCCTGTTCCAGTTACATTTTGCCCATTATATTACTCAACAAGTCCTACATTCCCTTAACATGCTGCTAAAGGTAGGACAGCACTTTTCCTGAAGTAAATCATAGACAGTTTTTAATTTTGATCCAACAATAACACACTCTCAATTACTTTTTAACATTTCAAATCATTTTTCATGCAGTAGCACCATTCTTTCTAATAAGTCGGTAGATGCATAGATAATCACATTTCACAAACGTGGCGATTTAAAAGGTCCAGAGAGGTAAGGAGATACATACAGGGTCATACAGGTTGATGTCAGAACCAGAATTGAAATGCAAGTTTCCTAAGCCCCATTCCAGAGCTTTTCCATTTGGTCATTTTGCTACATTTATTATCATCAGCACCACCATGGCAATGTAACACCTTTGGAAATCACAGCATATAAGAATCGGAAAGGATTTTAGAGATAACCCAGTCTGGTACACCTCATTAAACAGAGAGAGCATGAGGTCCAGAGAGGGGATCGGATTTGTCTAGAGCCACACAACAGTTTTGTGAGTTCATGGGAAGTCAAGATTAGCATTATAGATTAGGAAAGGAGTTGGATGGGGAAAAGAGTTGGGGTGGCATTTTAAGTCCAGTGTTGATTCATTCTCCTTGCCAATCATTGCCAAGGACTCGGGGAAGAACCCCCGGTCCTCCTGAAAAGGGTTTCTGTTTGATCCCACAGCAATCCATCAACGAAGCCATACGGACATCGACACTCCCCCGGAACAGTGGGGCAGGAGCCAGCGGTGGCGGTAGTGGAGAGAATGGCCGAGTGGTCAGCCACGACTTCCCCAAGTCCATGCAATCTATTCCCTGCATGAGCCACAGTTCAGGGATGCCCTTGGGAGCCACAGGATTATAACTGGAGCAGTGGAACAGATGGAGACCCCTTGGGGAGCAGGCTCAGGCTCCCCCAGCCCCATCCCAAACCCTTCAGTGCCAAAAACAACAACAAAATGAAACGCAACCACCACCAACCGCCATGACCACAAGGAGGATGACTCAACAGATTTTCCTGAAGAATTGAAAAACCATTTTGCTATCCCTTTTCCTTTTTTAATGTTCTTTCACCCTTTTTCGTTTGCTAAGTGAGGATGATAACACTGTACTGCAATAAGGGGAGAATAACCCTGTCTAACAGAGCTTGTGTCTCTGAAAATGGAGTCACTGGAACACTAATGAGGAAACTGTACTATTTTCTTTTGATTTGGTTGTTAATGTGTCCAAATGTGTGCAATATTTTTTTTCTTACTAATATCCATGGTTTGCAGGTTCTGTTAGGCCCCTTCCCTCTCCTTACTTCTAATTCTCAACTCCCTACCCATCCCTCTTCAGTTTCCAAATTGGAGATTCAAGATTCATTCCACCTTACAAGCAAGCAAAAGGAAAAAAAGCAACCTTCAAAGTAATTCTCCACGGGAGCTCTCCAAGTTACCCTCCACTCCTCAGCCCCAAGCCATGGATGGAGATGGATGTTGTTGGAGGAGTGAGCTGCCTTCCCCAGATGGGGCACTGCCTAAACACTGGTTTAGCTGGGAATGGATGTAAAAAGCAACTCAGACTGAGGGTGGCAGAGAGGGCAAAGGCAGATGTGCAGTCAAAGGAGGACCCATGAAGTTATTGCTGGAGGCTTAGATAAAGCTTCCTTTAACGTGTAAGAGCCATCCCAAAGGCCTGAGGCGGAATGGTGTATTTCTTCACAGAGTCAGCCTCATCCCTGAGAAGTATGTCCTTCTGACTATGCTCAAGCCCAAAGGCACTCTGGTGGCTAAAGGGCAACAGGTCTCCTAAACCGAGTAGGGCCTTGGGAACAGCTGACAGCTAGGGAGATACGGCTCATGATTCTCATTTTTCATTTGCTTAACATCTGAGCAGGAACCCCATTGTGGAGTAGACTTTCTCTTTGGAGCCTCTCATATGGGGGAAAATGGTATGCAAGCTAAGTGTGAAAGAAAGGTGATGGAAGAATTTTGGAAGAGGAAGACTCATCGAAGCCCACAAGCAATAGATCCTTCTATGGTGTGCCCTGTCCTAAGTTTGAGAGACCAAATATGAAGCTTAGGGTTTTGCTGACCTGCAGAACTTGGGTTTTGTGTCTACATAAAAATGTTGTTCTAGCATGTGGCCAGATAGCATTCTGTCGTCTAGAAAGTATAATGCCCAAGGCCGTATTATTTGAAGAAGTAAGGGAGATGGATTAAGTTGATAATGACATTGGGGGACCTTAAGATCACTGACCCCGACTTCTAACCCAAGAAGGCTGGCCTTCCCCCTGGCTAAAACAGAATGGGGATGTTGTATTCCAGTGACCAGAATCAATAAGCCCATGATTCTGACTATCAATCTGAACTAAAGCAAGACTGGAGAAGTGGCAGGGTTCATGGAGAGAAGGCCAGGTTGACTGCAACTTTGGTTAGGAGGGGGAGTTCCTGGCACATAGCTTACTTGGAGATCCCAACTCTCATTCTTGGTGCAATTGGCTTCCAGCTCTCCAGCAGCCACTCTCCTAGGTGCATGATTCAGTGTGTGCCATGTGTCATTAGCTTTTATTGATAACCATATTCTAGCTTGTTTCCTTACCCCCTACTTCTATCCAGTCTTCTCTGCTAGGGGTTATCATTAGCAATTGACAAACTAAAGGTTTTGGAATCTAACTATGAGTAGGTGCAGCACGATTGGCTTCATTTATGGATTCTCTCAGCGGACTCCCACCATCTCTATGTCTCTCTCATTCTCCTTTTATCAGCCATAGCAAAGAACCATCCCTGAATCAGACTCTTCGCCCTTTTAACTCAAGTGTTATTGTTCAGTCTCTCACATGTCAATGTGGACATGGTACATGAAGCAGGATCCTCAAGATGGATTTTCAGTTTCCACTACTGCCAGCTGATGTCCTTACCAGCCCCTGCCCTCACGCCAGATTTTTCTTAGCTCTTAGCCTACCCCTGCAGAATCCGATATGACCCGCCATTAGGGAGTCTGCATTTCGGAGGAGGTGGAAATAACCCTCTACCATTGACATGCTTCAAAGACCTTTTGCCTTTAGCCTGGTAAGAGGACTCTCCAGCCACTGAGTGCACCCGTAACATGATCTGATAGGGAGAGACCATCTATGCTAGAAATGAGGGTCTATGCTATGTGGGGGTCCAAGACTCCAGTGGAAGATGCTTTCCATCAACGGAGGAATGACGGGGAAAACAAAAGCAAGAAAAAAAGTTAACTTGTATTATGTATTTTTACTACACTTTTCTTAAAAATAGAGCAATGGGAAAACTCTGAAAGAGATTGACATTTTTCTCAACGGGAATCCATACTTAACAGTTCTGGCTTTCATTAAATTTTGCTCTTTGGTACCTGGGCTTTTTATTTAACATCTACATTTGTTTGAACTCTCTTAGCATATGTGTGAAAGGATTTTTGCTTGATCGAACACTAAATATTTTTTTGGTTCCTGTTTTCCTTTCAAGTAGCCAGGTTTTTTTTTTTCTTTTTGCATTTGCATAAAATGAAAATATCACCGAGAATTAAATCACTGTGGATCCATTATCTACTTTTCATATTTGTCCATTCCATTTTTGTGCCATTTCTGAAGCCAGAGCTCTAGAGGTTATGTTACTTCCTTATTGCCGAGCCTAAGTCCAGCACATTTTTAATGGTGACCACCATACCTGACTCAGAAACAGCTCTCAAACAAGTCATTTTAGATGAACTAGATCATTGTGAGTGACTCATCCAAATAGGCTAGCAAAAAAAGACAAGGAGCGGTATTTGGTTTTCAAGGCCGCAGTTTCTATTGTGTAAGGAGCAGGTTTTGGTTTCCCGTGGCCACAGCACCTCTATGGAAGTGGAGGGCTCACAGGGAATGTCTCCCAGACACCCCCAAACTGGAGTCTAGGTGGATCTGTGTCTGCGCAGAGTCACAACCAAAACCAAATCTAGACTGAGCTTATAAATAGATAATCTTGGTCCTCAGATCACAGGACCCTCATTCTTGCCTGAAAGGTTTTCTTTTGCTCAAGCAGGATGGGCTTTCTGTAAAGGATGACACACTGACACTTAGATACTGATGATTGGGAACAGCTTTAAGTGTCTTCTTTACCAAGGGACTTTGCGAATTAACAGTGGTCAGAGGTCTAAAATAAATGAAGCTCTAACAGTGGCATATCAGGCAGCAACTACCATAGAAGAAAAGTGCTAGGGGAAGGGAGAGAAGCTAGTGGACTTGTGTGAAGCTCCAGTCATTGTTTGTACCCACTGGCAGTCACCTTGAGCATCTAGGGTGCTTCTGAATGAAGAGACACAACACAAGCTGATGCATGGAGAAAACTGGTCTCTATCATCTTGCTATCAAACAGTTGGGATAATTATCTTAATGGCTATAAGAGCACAGGTTACCATGTATTGAGCACTTACTATGTTAAGCACACTCTATACCTTCTACATCATGACAATGACCCTCTAATGTAGGGCCTTACAGATGAGGAACACGGATTTAAAGAGATGGCATAACTTGCTTACAGTCCTGTAAGTGACAGAGCCAGGATTTGAACCGGGTCTGCTTGAATCCAAAGGCTTTATATTCCCCATCTCTCTGTTAAGCAGGCCATGATGCCTGGTGGCCAGGACAATAACAGGTGAGCGGTTGTCTACCTTCCTGTTATGCCAGAGTAACTGAAAACAGAATGTGTAAAGCTATACTTGGCACACCCTTGGGAAAGCCAGCCTACCCTCTTGGGGCATGAGAGATTAGTAATCCAGACAGGACTTCAAAAAGGAGACAAGAGAAGAGAGTCCCTTTTAGCCCCTTTAAAACAGACCCAGGCTAGGGAGAAGCAAGCAGGTTGGGGAGGGGACTGGAAAGCAGGTCCCCTGCAGAACAGTTGATTCAGCCTGGGGAAGGGTCCTCAGGGTTGCCCTGGGGAAATGGAGCTACCTTTCTGTGTGGACAAGACCAGGATTAGTTCTGGGGGTTACAGGGCAATGGACTTAGGTCCAACTAAAGAAAAGAGTCCCTAGTGGTCAAAGTATCCCCAGAGTAGCAGTAGACTACCCCTGGAGTTGGGACAAACTCCTGTCAAGGAGATGCTGCAGGTGTGAAAGTTGAAATACATACCCTCTAATTCCTTGCTTTTCTTGCATTTTTAAAGCCCTATTCAGGTTACCTGACCGGTAACACTCTGCTATGTACTAACAGAGGGTCAGCAAGGCTCTACAGAAATAAGCGTGAATATCTTTCACTGAAATAATGTCAAAAATCAACTTAACTTATCCTAATTATGGGACCATCCTAATTAAGAGACTAGATGGCAAGTCCTTCCTTACCAGATGCTAATGTTCTCTCTCGGAAAGAATGTCTATGGAGGTCCATTATTATCCCACTTTACAGATAAGAAAACTGAGATTCTTAAGTAAGAAGCTGCTTTCCCAAGTCACAATATGAGTAGAGAAGCAATGTTCTATAGAGGAAAGGCCAGTAGATAAGGGTTCACAGAACCTGACTCCTCCTTTACCTTTCTTATAAACTTGGACAAGAAAATTAACTACCCTGAGCCTCATTTTCCTCATCAAAGAAATGGGATGTTAGGTGTCAAAACAGGCAGTGATTTTCAACCCTAACTGCACATTGAATCACCTAGAAAACTTTAAACAAAATCACCAATGCCCAAGATGCATCTCCAAATATAATTTTTCTGAGAGCAGGCGCAGTTGTCGTTTTGTTGTTGTTTTGTTTCGAACTCTCATGTGATCATTACGTGCAGCCAGGATTAAGAACCACTACAATTGGGCCATCCTGGGATCAAAGAAAATGCTCATAAAACCTTCTTCAAAAATCACAAAGCACTATATTAGGGGTATTTGACCAACACCAGAACCCAGGTTACCTGATGGCAAATCTCCATGGTTCCAAGGGAGAAAATGCCGTTATATTCATCTGACCCAAAAGAAGGAAAAGATACAGACCCAACTTGGTCTCTAATGCTCCTTTACGCTCCAGGCATGTTTGTAATAACAACATTTTGCTGGGAGAAGAGAGACACAGGACATTCGAGATAAGATATAATCATCAGAGATATCTCCTCAGGCAAGGGTTGGGGGGGAGGGCAGGGAACAACTTTGTCAAGTGAGTCAGACTTCAACACAGCCACAGCCAGTTATTTTCCAAACTGGAAAACTACTTGGCTGTTTCCATTATAGACACAAAATCCCACTGCCTGCATTCTTAACATAGTCTACCGGAAAGCATCGCCTATCCGCCTCATCTTCCATGGGCACTCTGAGCCCTACTGGTAACAGCTCCAACTTCTTCTCCATACCATGCTTGCCATTTTTATAGCACTACAAGGGAGGAGGGAACCAGCATTTGCTCAGCATTAACTGCATACCAGGCAAGATGCTAGGGCTTCACATACATCTCATTTAGTCCTCAAAACAATCCTGCAAGGTGGGGATTTATCACCCCCATTTTACGTAAGAGGAAATGGAAGCTCAGAGAGCTTCAGAACCCAAGGTCACGCAACCAACCAATGACTTGGCCTAGATTCCTGTCCAAGCCTGTCTCTCTCCAAAGTCATTACCTTTCCACTTTATTTAACCACTTCCTAAGGAGATTGCATCACACTAAGAAAAAGCAGTGGACTAAGATTGAAAGATATGAAGTCTATTGCCTACGTCACTGCCAATTTTCAGTGTGACCTTGTGCAACTCATTTCCTTACTCTGGCCCTTAGTGACCTCATTTGTGAAATGAGAGAAGGGGAATTAATCTAATTGATCTCTAAGTTTCCTCTTCGTTGTAGCCTTCTGTCAATAGTTCTCAACCAGAGGCGATTTTGTGCCTCCCCTGGAGCATTTGGCAATGTCTAGGGATATCTTTTGTTGCCACAACTGAGGGTAGAGGGTGCTACTGGAATTTAGTGGGTAGAGCCCCAGGGATGCTGCTAAACATGCTACAACACACAGGGTAGCGTCCCGCAACAAGGAATGATCCAGCCCCAAATGTCAACAGTGCCGAGGTTGAGAAACCCTGTCTTATATAATTACAGCATCCCAACAGCATGTTGGGACGTGGATGATGGCAAGACAAGGCTGAACAGGAAAAGGGCAAGGATCCAAGTCATGTGAACCATCAGAGAAAATGAAGAATTACATGAATTTAGGCAACAAAGAAGCTGAGTTTAGGGAAGTAAGCTGAGGTCAGAAGAGTTTGGCCCACAGTATAAATATAGACAGGCCGGAGAAGCCAAGGCTGAGGACTCAGTCAGTCACAAGCTGTTGGCCCTGTTGCTCAGGAGATAGCAGGGGGCTCTGCCCGCAGCAGTCGTTTACTCTCTGCCCACTATCTTTCTGCAGGTGGTTCTGCAGCCACAACCAGTTGAGAGACCAACAGGTGAGCCCTATCCACCCCCCAAAAGACTGGATAAGCTTTGTTTTATCTCAGAATATACCCTCTTCCTTCTAACAAACATAGGTGATGAGCACCATGTCCACAGGTAGATGTCATGGGGAATAAGGAGACAAATAAGTGCTAGTCCTGTCTCTCATAGAGTTGATGGTCAGGAAGGAAAAATAAGACACATAAACAGCACTGAGTATAACACAAGGTCGAAGGCGGATGGAAAAAAGGCAAAGTGCTTGGCCATATGCCCCTCATCACCTTGTGCCCAGCCTCTAAAAAGGGGACTCTGAAGAGATAACATTCCATACCCTTTCCCCGTGATCACTGTTTTCCAACTACCCCAGCTTTTGTGGTGTTCCTCAAACATGCCATGCTCACTTCCATCTCAAGGCCCTTGCACCTGCTGCTTCCTTGGCTTGAAACCTTCTTCACCCAGATCCTTGTGAGACTAGCTCCTCATCATCCACGTCTTAGCTCAAAATGCCATCTCCCCAGAACAGGCGTCCTTCTCTACTCTGTTCAGACTAGCTCTGAAGTCACTCACGCTCACATTACTCATCACCACCTAATAATATCTTGTTTCCTTGCTTATTGTCTGCCTGTTCTCATCTAGAATATGCTTTCGAAAACCAGGGACCTTGACTGTCTCAGCACAATGCCTGGTACATAATAGATCCTCAATCAATATTTGTTGACTTGATGAATGACAGAGGTAGAGCTGAAATGCTCTTTGGTGTCTAAAGGAGGCAGAGATCATTTCTGCCTGAGGAAAGAAAGAAAGGAGGTGATGACATTTGTGTGTTGCCTTGAGGCTATGTAGGCATTACACAGCCAGAGACAGAAGGGAAGCCTTCAAAGAAGGGGAAACAGAACAAGCCAGGGCATGAAGGCAGGGCCTGTTTGGGAAAGGGCAAGTACCCAATGTAGTTGGCACCACACTGGCCAAGGAGGGCAGTGAAGAGAAGACTGGACTGGGCTTGGGGAGCTGTTAATCCATCATGAACTAGGGAGTTAAAAATTTTTGGGGGTGGGGCTGAGAAATCCATTTAGATATCGTGTATTGAATTTAGCAAGAAATTGATAAATTTTAGGCGTCTGCGATGTGCCAGGCTCTGTGCCAGGTACTTTACACCGTCCTCTCATTTAATCCTCAGGCAATAACCTTGTGAGGCAGAATTATCATCCCAATTTCATACCTGAGCAAACTGAGGCTCAGAGGTAGAAGCAAAACTTTAGCCACCTAGAATTTGTGTATTCCTACAACAGAGGAATTCCCACAGCAGACCACAGGAAGCCAGCTGTCCTCGTGAGAATTTTCAGTAAAAAGCCCCAGAAGGACACCTCCAGAAGGGGAGAGACCTGCCTCCCATGGATGGCACTTGTTTGACTATGCAAGGAAGTCACCCGAGAAGGAGTCAGTGGGCACCAATGGGTGTTGTACCACCAAAGACACTGTGATGAGAAGGATTTGGGCCCAGTCTGTACTCAGTAAAAGGGAGCCGTGATGGAGTCATAGATCAAGTCACAAGCACAGGATGAGGAAGAGCAGCTTCTTTGCAACCTATTCATCATCCGTGCTGTGGTAAAACCTTCTCCTCAATTCCTGAAGGAAGGTAGGCTTTTTAGTCCATGGGAAACGTTGATAGCAGTGTCTTGTATGTAGCACAGGGGATCCTTGGATGTATGTAAGGACTCTCTCTATATACATGTACGTATTTGGACTGTTGCCACAGTAAGGCTGCTATTACCAACCAAGAAAACAACACACCAAATCAGTCCACAAGTACCAACTTACAGGAACTAGGTGGTACAATAATTAATGATGATAAGTATTACCACTGCCGTTTGTTGAACACCTGCTCTGTGCTGGGCATTTTACATACACTGTCTGATTTCATGCTCACATATCCTGGGGAGAGAGAATTGCATTTCCACTGGATGAATGTGTTACATAAATGAATGAGACTCAGAAAAGTTCATAAGCGTTGGTAGAGACCTTAGAAATCAACTAATCATCATCTCCAATTATATCTTATACATAAGTGAACTTGAGGCCCTAGAGAGTAAGTGACTTGCCTAGGGTCACTTAAGTTCCTGGTGAAACTAAGACTAGCAGGAAGCTAGCTGTCCTGGCTCAAAGTCCAGGGTACTTTGCATGCAGTAAAGAGAACTTCTCACACTCAAACAACCCTGAAACTCAATATCTGGCATTTTTTCTAGCTCTGCAGAGCTTGTTAAGTGTATCTGGATAAACTGGACCACGGTCTGGGGGAGGATTTTGGACTGAAGCAGCTAAAATCTGTAATCAAGACTAGTCTCAAATCTAAATCAGGCAGGCAAATGCTTAGAGGGTGGGATTTCAGGACCATGACTACATTTTCCCCCAACCAAAAGCATTTTGGTGATATTTACTATATCCCCAAAATTCCTCATCCAGGACAAAGACTTTTATTCCAAAAAGTTGTTCCGTCTCTTTGTAAAGGCTCTTGTTAGGCAAGAATATCTGGCAAGTTCGAACTGGATTTAAATATGTGTTCCAAGGTGTTTTCTTGATGATAGCTTTTGACAGGAAGAGTGAAGAGGCACTTGAAGGCCAGGGTAGGCACACAGGGAGGTAAGCAAAGAATTCAGAATGGAAAAGTAGAGGATATTGAAGGCAAATGTCATAATTTTACAACTAGGAAGCCCTTGTTTTAATTACCTACCTAAAAGGTAGTCATGAAGAGACAGAAATTGGTTATTCAGCAGAGAGGCCTGAGTTTGGATGTAACTGGAGCTTGAAGTGGAAGATTAAGCAGTTATCTAAATAATTCCAGGGAGAAAAAAATGACTTTTTAAAAAACTTTAATTATCTAGATATTTTAAATAAATAAAATAGTTCATTATCATTTTCTTCATCTTGTCTTGAAACTATGATGAGGAAAAATATCATTTCAGGTTTTCTTTTAAAAAATGGGTTGTAACCTAGAGGTCCTGTCTTCACACACAAACTCATTTAGGAAGGTAAAAAAAAGACGTTGTTAATTTAATTTGATTGAGTAATCAGCTTAACGAACTACTTAGAAACCATTTAGCAATGAAATAAAAACTAAGTTCTCAGCAATTGGAAAACCATTAGAAAGAAATGAGTGCAGTACTGGTAGGAGACATCTGTGGGTTTTGGCAACCTGGCCAACCTCCCCTTCCTTTGGGGAGCTGCTCCTACTCTCCTGTAGTCTTACGATCCTGGTTACACTGCCAATCAGAGTACCCCACCCTTCCCCACACCACTGGCCCAGGCAATGATAGCCCCTTTTGCCCTGGCCACGATGATTGGGCCAGATGTGATCTTGTGACCTAACTCTGGTCAATTAGAATCCTTCCCTAGGACTTTTTTAACATGGAGTTCGAATGAGAAGGGGGCCTTACATTCTGAGTCCAAGCAAAAAGTATCTAAGGGCTATCTTCTGGATCCTGTAGAGAAAGTTTCTCTGCAGAAGAGAACAAAGCCAACTCAGCCAAGCCAAAATGCATGATGGAGGGAGTGTGTCCTGGTGTCACCTGAGTCCCTGGACGCGGTAGTTCCAGAGGCCAGTCCTTACCCGGACTTCCCAGTGGTGAGAGCTAATCAATTGGCTCTTTTGCCTAAGCTACTATGAGGTATATTACCAACCCTAGCAACCAATAAGTGATCAGCGAGGACCCACAGGATAACTAACTGAGACAAAGAAAGTCAGTAATTGAGCTCTAACCAGTTGTTTCTACGGCTAGCAACTGGTTTCAAACTAGTTTGACTGCATTTAAATTTTTCCTGTCCAAACCCATTTGCAGGTATTGAGGCACCAATGTCACCATCTTGACTTCTGTCAGCCTCCATTCTCTCTTTCCTGTTAACCTGCCTTCTGGGGGGTGCTGTGACTGTTAGACATAAGTGAAAGTTCTCTGAAAAATCTTTGGTGTTAGGGAAGCAATAAGGCCTCAAAGGGGTTCCTTTCTGCCCATAAAATTTTATTTTCTTTATCCTTTGGAAGAGTATACTAAGCAGAGTGTGTCTCTCTACCTCTCCGCCCTGCCCCCTGCCCGGTCTCCCCCTGAATCATTTCAGAGGGAGAGGAGAGAGAGGAGGGGAGCTTTTACTGTTCATGTTTATTTCTGTTCTGCAGCAGAGATTGGACACCTCCAGTTGGCTGTCAGCTTTGCATTAAATGCATTGCCTTTGATGGAAAGAAATACACTGAATGCATAAATTGCATGGGAACATGAGGGTGGTTGCACTGATAATGAGAGCATATAAAGAGAAAAGCAATAGAGACAAATTGTACTGACACCCAGGCCAGCCAGGCCAAGCAGCAGTTTAGTGCTTTAAGAAGTCCCCGAAAAATCTATTCCCACCTTGTTGGCTCATACACAAAATTCTACTCACTCTATTTGATTCTTTTACTTAAAGTGATGGTGGCTCTAGAACCATAATCTTTCACATAGCCACAGAATTCTGCAGCCACAAAGCGCTTTCGTAACATAGTCTGCCTTGATCCACAGCAATGTCCTGAACAGTAGACAGAGTAGAGATTAGTATTCCCATTATGTAAGTTAAAACTGAAACTTAGGAAGATCAAGAGACTTGCCCAAATTCACTTAAGCCAAGGTGGGTGAGCTGGGCCTGGAAGATGAACCTCCTGACTCATGGCCTCTGCCCTCTATCAAAAGATGACCCCAGACAGTCATGGCGATGTGACTCTCCTTTCGTGGAGGGAAAAAGTAAAAGCGTGTATCAGCTAACTTGAGGATGTCTTTGGCCAAGGGCTGGCCCTATAAACAAGAGCGAAAAGAAGGAACAAACATTGTTGCGGGCAGAGCCAAACTAAAGGGTGATGTGACAGGACAGACGGTTTTGCCGCCATCACTAGAGATTTAAGGAGGTGGTGAAAATTCTGCTTACCAGAAGGCCTCAGGGAGAACCCTCCAGATGGTTGCAAGAAATGCCTGCTAAGGAGTTAACAAGAGCCTTGTGC